TGTAAGGAATGTACTCTGATTGGTTGTCAGACTCCCAGGCCTGGTTGAATCTTGCTGGGTGATGATGTAATGAAGGGGCTTTGAGCAATTCCTATTATGGCTTAATGGCTTTGTCCTGGTTTGGATCTTGAGTGAGGGCTAATCCTATCATGTCCTGAGGGCCATGTCTTTTGTGTTGTAGATAAGCTGGCCCAGCCTTTGTCTTGTAGATAGGTTGGCACAGGGGTGAAATCCAAAATTTTTTCCTACTAGTTCTGTGGACGTGGCTTGGTGGGCATGGCAAGGGAAGGATATTGCAACATCTCCATTCCCACCCCACTCCAGGGGAAGGATACTGCAACATCTCCATTCCCACCCCACTCCAGGGGAAGGATACTGCAACATCTCCATTCCCACCCCACTTCTGGGGGAAGGATACTGCAACATCTCCATTCCCACTCCACTCTGGGGCCAGACAGAGGAGGTATTTGCCAGTTCTCCGAACTACTCAAAATTTCTGCTACCAGTTTTCCAGAACCTGTTAGAACCTGTTAAATTTCACCCCTGGATTGGCACCAAAATATCTGCTGGGGGTAGGGGCAAGGAGCTGAGACTCTGAGTTTGTCTTTAGAAACAAGTTTTTCCTTTGGGAAAAATATAATATTCTGCCTTTTTAATATTTCCTAGAATATTTCAATTTCCTAGGAGAGGGGTGGGTGCTAACATCCTACACTTCATTCTCAAAAGGGGCAGAGACCATCCACCTGCCCAAGTGAAGGAACAGGAGAAGGAAACAAAAGCAAACATTATGCTTCAGCGCCATCAGGGATCTCCAAACCTGGCAACTTTAAGACTTGGGGACTTCAACTCCCAGAATTCTTCAGCTTCAATTCCGGGAATTGAAGTCCACAAGTCCTTAAGTGAACTAGATCAAGCATGTCCAAAATGGCCTCGTCTGAATGCACTGGAACCCATTTTTATTTTTAGCCAGCTTTTTGGATGAGAAGCGCAATGTCTTCAAAGAAAAACCAGAAAGTCCAGTTGCCTCTTGAAAAAACATCTTTGGGACAACCATGACCTGGATGACTGAGAAACTCCATAGTCACTTCTTCCTTTAACGTTTCTTGGAAAGTAAAAGGAAGTCTGGAGCATGATGTTTTGTTTCCTTCTACTCATGCTAATTTCCTTTAAATAAAAGAGATGGAGATAGAGGAAGGCATCTTACTGGTACTTTGTAAATTTGAGGAACAGCAAAGCTATCAAGAGCTGTTCTAGTAATGTTATTTGTTTTATTTTAATTATTAAATTTATTCACTGTCTATCTGATTGTCTTCTGACTCTGGGTAGCTTAATATAAAATGATACTAAGATAATAAATACATTAAAATTATCTGTTGAGTGTGTGTTTGTGAGAATGGCTAATTGTATGAAAGGAAGTATTCTTCCAAACTTCTTGCTTGGCACATTTTTTATTTTTATATGTTCTGAGTGGGTCTGTTTTTTTAAAAAAATCCTATAAAGGAGAAATCGTATGTGTGTGTACAGATATGCATAGCCACACTTAGGTGATTGAATTATGAACCATAAGTGGTGTTGACTTTTAGCAATTGCATAGACTTCTACATGATAATCTGTCCCAAAACTGGTTTTGGGGGGTCTTCCAATAATGCACCAATTGCTGTTGGGATCATATCCACCACCTTGTTTTTGATGGTCCTCATCTTTATTTCCTTCCAACTTTCCCAACATTTAAGAAGAGCCTTCTTCAAAAAAACAAAACAAAACAGGTCTTCTTATAATATTTAAAATACAGCTTGGCACTCTGATCTTAATACCTTCTATTTAGTTTCATGAGCAAATGATTTCTATTTTTGACTTGGTGACCTACCACTCATAAGAACCATGTTGTATAGTTCCTTCTGTCTATTTTGATCTATTTGGAGAATTTGTTGTAATTTTTCCACAGTGCATTTTTTTAATTTTTATTTTTTGAAACCACAATGGAAACGTAGAGATCAAGTGGTGAGGTCTTGTGAAATGTTGGATTTGGTCCAAGAGCTCCAGATTCAAATCATAGTCTTCTGCAAAGCTAGCTTGGTGATGTTAGACTAACTGCTCAACTAGACTGAAGAATTGTAATTCTATATGGTTTGGAAAAGAATATTTGTAAGCCACCCCCGGGTCGGTTAAAAATCTAACAAATAAATTGTGCCCTCAATTTGCAAAAGAGAACATCTACAAGATATCCTTTTACTGAAACAATGCCTTTCCACAGTACTGTCTGTCTTTCATCTCTATTTTGCAATGTTCATTTGATGATAGGCCAAAAAAAAAAAAAAATCCAACCTTGGCAGTGGTTTCATGTTGCTGCTTCAGTGAATTATAATAACAAAGTGGAACTCTTTGGTTACTGGTTCCTCAGACTCAGGATGTCTTTCTGGCTGATAGAAGTTAAGTATTTATTCATGCAAAACAATGCCCTGGAAATTATAGCCATGATGTCTGAAATGGTAACATTTACTAATAGCTTATTTTCTTGCAGCTTATAAAGACCAATGATAAGCTCCAAAGAGATCTGGTTATGCCAACAGGTCTAGACCAGGCCGAGTTCAAAAATGCCAGGGAATTTCTAGAAGTCTGGCATGCTGACAAATCAGCCATCAACAGACAAATAGACATTAACAACATCTACAGACTTTGCAAATAGACAATCAACCAGCCCAAAATAGAGCAAAAAGACTCCAGCCCCTCTCCACCAGTAATCAGCACCTAGATCAGTATAGATTAACTCCAAGGTTAACTTCAGACCAACAATCAAGCAAATAATACCCCAATCAAGGCACTGCCAAAGAGCCGTCAGTAAACAGCCCAACCAAAGAATCTCTAAACCCCCCCCCACCCACACAGACAAGTCATCAGAATATAAACTGACAGCAAACAGCACTCCTTACTAGCACTGATGATGTTACCGTACCTAGTTAGGGTAATGAAACATCTTCAAGAAAACAAGCAAGCTCAGAGAGCACCCCACATTTCAACCCTGAGCTACAAATATTCTCGTTTATTGGTACTGTGTATTTTGTAGAATGTTTTTAGTACAAATTTATCTTGGGCTGCATGCTCTGTCTGGGTAAATGCATTGTAATAAGCAACCTGAAAAACAGAGTCACATCTTCCAAATCTGCCCCATCTGCCCCAGCTCCAATCAAAATCCTGGCACATCCCATTACTTTAAACTCTGAACTTTTTATTTCAACGCCCTTGAATTTTACTTTGGGAAACATTCTTTCATATCCTTTTTGGAAGAATACTTTCATATTTGCTCAGCTCATACATTTTATGGTAATAAGCAATGGGATTCCGCACTTTTCATTTTCAACTCAAAAGAGTAGCTTTCCAAATTTGAAACAGCAAAATAAAATAGCCATAAGCCAGTGGCATCTGGAGTTTATAGTGCATCTTCCTTTTTAAACACGTTTAAACACTAAAACCATAGTATCATCTATTTTTTAAAAAAAAATGAATCTAAATCTTATATGAATATTCCTGTTTTCAGTATAGATAAAAGGAGAAAAACATATAGAAATTATTTAAAATTGGTAGCTAGCAACATCATTCTACTCTATAAACTTTACAATAAAACTCTGCTTTTAGCTATTGTAAGTGGAATTTTAAAAAAACCAAATCTATATCCCCATCATCAAATGTATCATAATATTATTTTATTTAATATTATTTCCACCCATTGCAAGAAGCAACAGGTGGAAACTAATCAAGGAGAGAAGCAACTTAGAACTAAGGAGAAATTTCCTTAGAATAATTAATCAGTGGAACAATTTGCCTGTAGAAGTTGGGAATACTCCAACACTGAAAGTTTTTAAGAAGATGTTGGATAACCATTTGTCTGAAGTGGTGTAGGTTTCCTGCCTGGGCAGGGGGTTGGACTAGAAGACCTTCAAGGTCCCTTCCAACTCTGTTTATTCTATTCTATTCTATTCTATTCTATTCTATTCTATTCTATTCTATTCTATTCTTCTCATTGAGACAAGTGATGTTTCAAATGCTTTTGAGTCTTGCCAGACAATTGTTTTGATCCAGAAATCTGAGTATACTCAATCGGGCAACGTAATTCATGTAATTCTGTCTACTGAAATTAATTTAATTTTACTTATGAAATTTAGAAGGCTACCCAGCTTCCAAAGACTCTGGCAGGTTACATGCAACAGAAACCAAAGGAGAAAGAAAAGAATAATGTACATACCAGAAGAAATCAACTAAAAAATTTCTAAATCAAATGCAGCAGAGAAAGCATGGATGTATGTATTGTCATTTTATGAGGGTTCTTCTATATTGTGAACAATATAATTAGTAAAGTAAATAAGAAGCATGTCGTTCCCATTTTTTAAATTATTTTTTTATTAAATTGATTTATATGCCGCCCTTCTCCGGAGACTCAGGGCGGCTTACAATGCGTTAAGCAATAGCCTTCATACTTTTGTATATTTATACAAAGTCAGCTTATTGCCCCCACAAACTGGGTCCTCATTTCACCTACCTTAGAAAGGATGGAAGGCTGAGTCAACCTTGAGCCTGGTGAGATTCGAACTTACAGTAATTGCAGACAGCTGGTGTTAATCACAATGCTATTAGTCTGCTATTAGTCTGCTGAGCCACCAGGCCCATTAAAATAAGTAAGACAAACCATGGCTAATTTTCACATGAGGTTATTGAAACCGGAGGTCCAATAATTTAGACTGGTTTGCTCATTATGCTAAGTCTGATAACCAAGCTATGATAACCCCACTTGTGACCCAAAGCATCTTCATAATGTTGCCCACCCATCATTGAAACATGTCTGTTTGAAGACATATATGACACTAAATTAACATTACAGTTAGTTTGGCCCAATGATACTTGCACAACTAGAAGATTTTACACTTATTAGTAAGTAATGAAGCAAGATTGCTTAGAATGATTTAGGAAGAACTGTAATACAAGAAATTGAAACAAAAATCAAGTACCTGATAGTAGAAATATTTTTCAACCCTGGCAACTTTAAGATGTGTGGACTTCAACTTCAGCTATGCTGGCTAGTGAACTGAAAATAAATTAACAGTATAATGAAATGTTTCTACATTATGTGAAACTGGATTGACACTGGATAGTTTTCTATATAGATTAAACATTTATAGGAACTACAGCGGAGGTGGGTTTCAGCGGGTTCTGACCAGTTCTGGAGAACCAGTAGTAGAAATTTTGAGTAGTTCAGAGAACTGGTAGTAAAAATTCTGACTGGCCCCGCCCCCATCTATTCTCTGCCTCCCAAGTCCCAGTTGATCGGGAGGAAATGGGGATTTTGCAGTATCCTTCCCCTGCCATGCCCACCAAGCCATGCCACACCCACAGAACCAGCAGTAAAAATTTTGAAACCCACCACTGAAACACAGCCCATCTGATTTTAGCAAATTTATCATTATGAAAGAAACAGTTTAGAGAATAAGCAGGTAAAATGTCTGAATATGTGCTATAAACAACATAAACAACTGAGCTCTTTTAAGATGGGTTGTATCGTTAGTAATATTTAATAACAATAGTTTTAATAGTAGCAGTAGTAGTAGTAAGAATATGAACATTCAAACACTGCAGCCTTGTGCATTTGTAGTAGGATACCAGAGAGAGAAGGGAGAAAAAAAATGACTTGGCTGAGATTTAAATATATCCTGAAGTGGAAAGACAGATCAGTTAGATTTCATTATTGGCTTGCTCTATTTTCATGCAGTGCCACGGGCAAAATTCATGCTTGGCTCAGTTTCTACAGAAGATAAATTTGGATCAGTCAACCATTCAAAAACCTACCTGATGAAAAGTTAGGGAAATAGCCAAATAATGCACTGTATGTGATTATTAATTAAGTCACAGGAATTCATTGGCAACCTTCAGTCTCAAAAGACTGTGGTATCGTGCTCTGGAAAGAGGTCCTAAAACAGCATCTAGTGTGACTAAAAAGGCCAATTCGAGAGTGGCAATCCCTTCTACAGTGAGGGCAGATACATTCTGTCCCCTGCCCAGCCCCGAGATTTTGCTGGTTCCGGGACTGCCTCTTTGCCTCAGCCTGCCGAACAAGTGTCTCTTCAAATTGGAGAAGGCCATGCTATGTCTTTAGCCTCCAAGCTGAACGATCGAAGGTCAAGGTTTCCCAGTTGTTAATGTCCATTCCCAGGACCTTTAGATCCCTCTTGCAGATATCCTTATACCAAAGCTGTGGTCTCCCTCTGAGGTGCTTTCCCTGCACTAATTCTCCATATAGAATTAACCCTGGTGGCGCAGCAGACTAAAGCACTGTTATTAACATCAGCTGCCTGCAATTACTGCAAGTTCAAATCTCACCAGGCTCAAGGTTGACTCAGCCTTCCATCCTTTCTAAGGTAGGTAAAATGAGGTCCCGGATTGTGGGGGCAATAAGCTGACTTTGTATAAAATATACAAAAGTATGAAGGCTATTGCTTAACGCATTGTAAGCCACCCTGAGTCTCTGGAGAAGGGTGGCATATAAATCAAATAATATATACACAGGAGATTTTTCGGAATCCAACCATCAGCCATTCTCACGACATGCCCCAGCCAGCGTAGATGTCGCTGTTTCAATAGTGTATACATGCTAGAAATTCCAGCACATTCCAAGACTGCGCTATTTGGAACTTTATCCTGCCAGGTGATGCCAAGAATATGACGAAGAAATACAGGAATTACAGCCATGAGATAATCTTTCAATGCCTGGAAATAGTCTTCAGGTAATGGTGGACAGGTTGAAAACAAAGAAGTGCATTTCCTCTTCAGAGATGCTGCCAATTTGGAAGTGGCCTCCCACCTTTCCTTAGCTAGTTTAAAGAAGAAACAAGTCCCATGAAATGAGGCAATCATGGAATTAGAAAGTTCCAGCCATAAAGCAATGGGTTAATAAATAAAACAAAGTTTGGGATTTGTGTAATTAGAAGGGATTGCATTAATAATGTGCTTCAGATCATTTGATCTGAAATGAAAAGGGATAAGAGAGCACTTTCAAAAATAAAAAAGCATGATTTATGTGGGCAGCTAAACTGGTTCTCCTGCCTTAAAGGCATTGCGGTTAAATGTTAAATACATAATTATTTGTCTTTATCTGGTGGGAAAGGGTGGAGGTCCTCTAACTAGATTCTCAAACAAGGAGATGTATTTAATAATCTAAGCGTAGTTCCTTCTGATATTATCTGTGTTCAGGACCTCAAAAGAGGGGCAACCTCAGATTACTTATTTATTTTATTTTCATTCTTCTTTTATTATTGTTTACAAACAACCTGTGAACATACCTAATACTCCTTCCTCCTCTTATTTTCCCTACCACAACAACCTTACAAGATGAGTTGGGCTGAGAGAGAATGATTGGCCCAGAGTCACTCAGCTTGGTCACTAGATTAAAGCATGTCTGTGATCTTGTATGGCTACTTGATTACCTTGGATTGCTCGATTGTTATCATTGTTGCTGATCCTCTGGGTTTAGTTCTAGCTGTTTCAGGAAAGCAAGTGGCAAAAGAACCTGTTCCTGCCATTTATCCCTGCTATGCAAAAGATATCTGAGCTTGGGGTAGGCAGTAACAGTAACAGAGTTGGAAGGGATCTTGGAGGTCATCTAGTCCAGGGGTCACCAACCTTTTGGACCTCAGGGACTACTAAATTCATAATTTTAAATTCCACAGACCACTAATATGATCTGCCTAATGACTGGCTGGGTGGGTGTGGCTAGGTGGTCATGTGACTGGCTGGATGGGTGTGGCCCACTTGATGTCACTCACATTGAGGGGCACCTCACCAGCCTCTACTCACCCTTCCCCTCCCAGCCATTCTTTGCCTGTCCACCCAGGCTCCTTAGGAAGCAGTTGTTGGAGTTAAGCAGCCACCATGAGAAAGAGTTGACAAAACAGCTGGCTCAGTTCAAATTGGATCTGATCGAGAAGGAGGCTCAGCAGAAGCACCTCACTCAGAACTACGAGCATAGGCTTTCCAAGCAGAGGGAAGACCTGCAGGAGTACAACGCCAAGTACCGGCGCCTGGAGGTTCAGTGGGCTGAGATAGTCGGCCAGTTCCAGGCCATGATACAGTCCCATTGGAACAAGGCCCTACGGCTCTTCACCACCAGTGGCACTTTCCTCTAGCTTTTGCCCAAAGCCCCGCATCAGGAGGCCGAAGCAGACCCCAAGTCGGAATTTCTGCCTCCTTCTGACCTGCACAAAAAGACCCCAAAGGGGGAGACTCTCTGCAGCAACACAAACGTTCATTGCACAGAGTCGGCTCAGGGGCCGTAATTTGAGGACCCCTGATTTAGTGCTATGTAAAAAATGCAAATAATTTTTCTGCGGACCACCAAAATTTTCTCACAGACCACCAGTGGTCCATGGACCACCAGTTGATGACCACTAATCTAGTCCAACCCCCTGCTCACGCAGGCGAGCTGTACTAGGGATTTGAACCGCCAAACTGCCAACCTTTCTGATCGACAAGCTCAGTGTCTTAGCCACTGAGCCACCTAGTCAGGCCATAACCAATTTTTAAATTCAGGGATAGGATTCCTTGATTTAATCTGGATCCTTATTCATTTCAGTGGTGGGTTGCTACCAGTTTGCCCCAGATCGGGCGAACCGGTAGCGGCGGTGGCGGGAGGCACTGCCCACCCGCCCGGACGCTTCTGCGCATGAGCACATGACCGAACTGGTAGCAAACTAAATTGAAACCATCAGTCATCAACTGATTCATTTCCTTCATTTGTCGGATATTCATGAAAAGGCAAGTTAGGAATTATCCATTTCCTCAAAGAATGGGAAGTTTCTGAAGGTATTCCGAAGCCTTTTAAAGAGCAAACTGACTGCCTCAGACTCAAACTCCAAGAATATCTGCTAAACCTTCCTTTTCATCTCAGCTGTTTTTTTAGAAAGATTTTAAAAATTATGAACAGCAAGAAACAGGCATGCTGAAAATCAAAGCAGCTGCATCTAGTACAGTGGTGGGTTGCTCCCGGTTCTCACCGGTTCACAAGAAACGGTACTAAAAATTTTTAGTAGTTTGGATAACCGGTAATAACATTGGCTGGCCACGCCCCTGAACTGGTCCCGGCTGGGTGCCGTTCGTTTACCCCACCCACCTCATCAGAGGCTTTTTTTTTTTTTTACTTTTAAAAGCATTTTTTCTACAACCTCTTCGGCTGAAAAAATGCTTTTAAAAGTTAAAAAAAAAAGCCTCTGATGATCGCGCTGCTCAGCTGGGATCGTCAGAGGCTTCTGAAAGCATTTTTTTCTGCAACCTCTTCACTGAAGAAGGAAAAAAAATCCCTTTAAAAGCCTCTGGCAATCCCAGCAGATTTGCCTGATTGTCAGAAGCTTCTAAAAGTATTTTTTTCTGCAACCTCTTCAGCCAAAGAGGTTGTAGGGAAAAAAAATCCCTTTAAAAGCCTTTGGCGGTCCCAGCTGACTTGCCTGATCGTCAGAGGCTCCTAAAAGCATTTTTTTCTGCAACCTCTTAAGGTTGTAGGAAAAATGCTTTTAAAAGTAAAAAAAAAAAAAGTTGGCCACTCCCAGCCAGGCACATTACCCCACCAAGCCACACCCACAAAATAAGCCACTCCCACAGAACCGGTAGTAAAAAAATTTAGAACCCACACCTGATCTAGTATGTTTCTTTCCAAGAATGGTAGTAGTTTCATTAATCTGGTAGGCATTTCTGAGAAATAAAAATGGCAGACTTTTGCCGGCAATGCTTATATAGCATTATAGAACCCCAATGTTGAAAGTGCTCATTAAGGGCATGAAATATGAACCTACCCCCAGTTGCAGGTAGCTATGTAAAGACATACACAAATGTTTCTGCTTCAAGAAGAGGAATTCACCATCTCCTTAAATATTTTGAAACAGCCATCTACTCAGATAAAACAATAGTTGGAAAAAATAGCCATCTGGTTCAATTCCAAGTGAGGAGAAAGACACTGGAAACAGGGAGGCTGATTGGAAAGATGGTTTAATGGTGAAGCAGAATTAAGCACATGGGATTCTGGGTAGCTGACCACATGGAATGGAGAGTGAGGGTTATTGATTGATTGATTGATTGATTGATTTGATTTGATTTGATTTGATTTGATTTGATTTGATTTGATTTGATTTATATGTTGCCCTTCTCTGAAGACTCAGGGCGGCTTACAATGCGTTAAGCAATAGCCTTCATACTTTTATATATTTATACAAAGTCAGCTTATTGCCCCCTCAATCTGGGTCCTCTCCCTTTATACCCTCTCTTGGGCCTTGCCCTTGAGCTTCCTGTTCCTGTGGCAAGAGCATGTATTTTATTGGTTGCTGTCAGACTCCCATGGGGCTATGCAGGGGTCATAGCTGATTTAGTAGGATACCTGGGTCAAACTTAGTTGAAGCTTGGGCTGATGCAATGAAGGGGCTTTGTTGTGCAATTTCTATTGTGGCTTAATGGCTTTGCCTGGAAGGATAATCCCATCACTCGAGTTGAAGCAGCGGTGGGTTCTACTTACCTTTACTACAGGTTCGCAACAGGAGCCCCGTTTTACGACCTTTCTTGCCACAGCTGTTAAGTGAATAACTGCAGTTGTTAAGACATTAACACAGTTAAGAGAATCTGGCTCCCCCATTGACTTTGCTTGTTAGAAAGTCATAAAAGGTGGCCCCAGACACTGCAACTGTCATAAATATGAACCAGATGCCAAGCATCCAAATTTTGATCATATGACTATGGAGATGCTGCAACAGTCGTAAGTGTGAAAAACAATCATAAGTCACTTTTTTCAGTGATGTTGTAATTTCTAAACGATCACTGAATAAACTGTTGTAATTTGAGGATTACCTCTACTTCAGTGCAACAATGAAAGGCTGCATTGGCTCAATTGCTTTAGACTAGACTGGACTGGACTGGACTGGACTGGACTGGACTGGACTGGACTGGAACGGAATAGAATAGAATAGAATAGAATAGAATAGAATAGCAGAGTTGGAAGGGACCTTGAAGGTCTTCTAGTCCAACCCCCTGCTTAGGCAGGAAACCCTATACCACTTCAGACAAATGGTTATCCAATCTCTTCTTTAAAACTTCCAGTATTGGAGCATTTACAACTTCTGGAGGCAAGTTGTTCCACTGATTATTTGTTCTAACTGTCAGGAAATTTCTCCTTAGTTCTAAGTTGTGTCTCTCCTTGATTAGTTTCCACCCATTGCTTCTTGTCCTGCCCTCAGGTGCTTTGGGGAATAGCTTGACTCCCTCTTCTTTGTGGCAGCCCTTAAGATATTGGAACACTGCTATCATGTCACCCCTAGTCCCTCTGCTCATCAAACTAGACATACCCAGTTCCTGCAACCGTTCTTCATATGTTTTAGCCTCCAGTCCCCCTAATCTTTGTTGCTCTTCTCTGCACTCTTTCTAGAGTCTTTTTTACATCGTGGCAACCAAAACTGAATGCAGTATTCCTTTAAGAGGAGAAGATTCACAGGGTCATTTGGTAATGGTTAGGAGGGAGCCATGAATCAAAACTTGCAATTATCTATGTATATGCAACTTGGGGCAAGGTTCAATAAGGCAAAACAAATGAGCTTTTTTAAAAAATCCAAGAAAATAATCAATGTAGATTGCTAAAACTTCTATAAATGAAGGAAGAATGAATAAAGAAGAATGCTTTGAAAACTTCCATGCTGGGAAAGTTCTTCTCCCTTTCACAGCAATTCCTTTCAAAGCCTTAAGACTCAGATCATAAGCTTCTGTGGAAACTTTCCAGGCTCCATCCATTCTAAAGATGGCTGAATAAACAGAAATCAAACCATGAATCTGTTTAATCTTTGTTTGCTTACCGTTTCAAATATTCTTTCACATTTGAAAGCAGTCCCTTTTCCTTTTTGAAAATGTTTTCTTTTAAAGTGCCAGGTGTCTCAAATGCTTTGATGAATGCCTCTTGTCTTAAAACTGCAAGTAAACAAAAAATCCAGGGCCAAATAAAACATTAAGATGCACGTAAACAGACTGGATTATCTACTGAGTACTTTCCTGAGCATTCACAGTGAGGAGTCTGTAATCCATAATCTGCATGAAATAGTTCGGTAGAAATATTCTATACAACTTTAGAGGTATAATTTGAAGGCAGCTTCATTCAGTGTTGCTGAGTGTGGGGTTATTAGATCGTGATGATTCTGCATAGGTTCTTCTAAAGGAGGAGTTACAGAGGTGGGATTCAGCCGGTTCGGGACGGTTCGGGTGAAATGGTAACTCCGACGATCTGCTAGCCCTGCCCACCTGCCCCTGCCCTATCCTGTCCTTTATTTCCTGCTTTCTAGCTCATCTCAATCATGCGGGATAGCTGCTCCCCCCCCCCCGTTCTACTTACTATTGCTGACTTGGAAGGTAAGCAGCTGAGTTTCTAAATGCTCCATTTTCAGTGTGAAGCGCACACTCACCGATCCGGTTGTTAAATCGGCAGCATTCCACCACTGGGGAGTTATATGTAATCTTTGAGGAACATGTTGCTAGGTTTCCATATGGATCTTGATATGATATGGAGATGTTTTTTGCAGTAGATGTATACAGTGGTAGGATTCAAGTAATTTAACAACCGGTTCTCTGCCCTAATGATTTCTTCCAACAACCAGTTTGCCAAACTGCTCAGAAAGTTAACAACTGGTTCTCCCGAAGTGGTGCGAACTGGCTGAATCCCACCACTGGATGTATAGCTTTCTTCATTACTCATGAAGAACATCTGGCCTGCACAGGTGATTCTGCAGGAGATCCTCCTGTAGCTCCATGATTAGTAGTTAAGGATCTTAATTCAACTTTCCCTTGCTTTATACTTTTCTCCTTTTCTTGTTTAATGGAGCAATCTCACTTAAAGAGCTTGGTAATGATCCAAACACCAAGATATAACTATTTATATGCAGGGGTGTGTCTCCTGCCCGCAGAGATAGAATGCGGTGATTATTATCCCATTTTGTAAACTTGTTTTGATATCATCAAGGTGCTATATTAAGTTAATTTGCTCCTCCTGAGAAGGGATAATAAGGGATTGCGCAGAATCAAATTCATCTGCTTCCTTCGGCCTGATGTATTTTATTTATAAAGAATATTATACAGAGCAATATTTTCAGAAATGGGCTTGGATGTACCCTCCAGTTTTGCCTTGGCAAGCTTCCCAAGAGTCAGAGGTACAATATTTTGAAATACTCTAGTTGGCATAGTTCCAATGCTCTGTAGAAAATCTTGAGTCTTAGAGCATTTCAGGGTAATACTAGTTGTTGAAATGACAACACAAACGTTTTACAGCCATGATGGTGAACCAATGGCATGCGTGCCAGAGGTGGCACACAGAGCCCTCTCTGTGGGCACGCGCACCATCGCCAGCTGCTCTTCTGGTTTCCGGCATGCACATGCGCACCGGCCAGCTGGTCTTGGGATTTCCGGTGCTCCAGTGTGCGTGTTCCGCTTTGGGCACTCGGTGCCGAAAAGGTTCGCCATCACTATCTCACAGCCTTGGCAGTATGGAAGCAATGTTATCTCCATTTAGTTGGGTTGGTGTTGCTTTACACCTTACTGTAATAACTATGACAGAGATTTCAGAATGACTTTTTTTCATATTCTGTCTTTGATTACAATATTTATGTGGATCATTTCAATATGTAACACAACTTTCTTCAGTTGAAGTCCATATATTGCACATGGTCCTTTAGTACTAAACTTTGAACTTTGCTTATCAACTGTACATAGTGCTTACACTCCTAGAAATACTTTTCTCTCCTGTGTTGCTATTCTCACCAGCTTCCTGATGCATAATTTAAACAATCAGATTAGAAGTAAATTGGCGTAGAACGTAGTTAAAAGGTCCTTGGAGATATTTGAGTCCAAATCTCTCACCAAGGCAGATTCCTCAGACAAACCCTGACAAATGGCTGTCCAACTTTTGCTTGAAAAACTCCAGTGATGGAGATTCCCAATTCTGGGAGCCAGCTCTATTCCATTGCTTAATACTCTCATGGTCAGGACATTTGTCCTTGAGTTTGGGTCTCCCTATATAAAAATTCCATCCATTGGTTCTTTTGCTTTCTTTGCACCATGGAGAATAAATCTATATTCTCTTCAGACCTGAAATCCACATTCAGTTCTTCAAGTATTGGAAGACGGCTACCCCTCAACTTTCTTTTCTTTAAGGCCACTGGGTTCTTTAAGGCCTGTGAGCATTCTTCATAGGATTTGGCCACCAACCCTCTCGTTGTCTTTGTGTGAACTTTGTCCTTTTCTCGCTCCAGAGAAGACTCCTTAATCATTTAGAAAACCTACATGAATAAATAAAATCAATTCCCTGCCCATGAAGAGCAAGCAACCTGAGTGCTAGTTCATCCCAGAACCACCTGAATGTCCATTCAGTGCACAACATGTTGCAGAATTTATTCAGTGTGTGCCCTTTCAAAAGCCAGATGCCCCAGTCATCCTTTATATCACAGGTTATATTAGACTTTTATGCAGTGGTGGGTTCCTCCCAGTTCCGCCCGGTTCTGCTGAGCCGGTAGCGGTGACAATATGATGTAACTGAATCGGTTCTGGGGGCCCCCGGCCCTCCTGCGTTATTCTTATCTTTTATTTGGTCCCACCCCCAATCTATTGCTGCCTCCTGAGTCCCAGCTGATGGGCTATAAGGAAAAAAACTGTTTAAACTCTTGCTGCGGGGCTTCAAAGGGCCGCCCTACAGCTGATCAGTGGTAAAAGGCAGTTTGGTGGTTGACCGGTGCCTCCAAAAACAAATGAGTAGACCGGTGCCTGCAAAAATAAATGGGTAGACCAGTGCAGCTCTACAAGCAGTTAAAAGCCTGGTAGACCAGTACCTCTGCTAAATCCTAAAGAATTGTCACATGACCATCAAGCCACACCCACAAAATAAGCCACGCCCACAGAACCAGTAGTAAAAAATTGTAGAATCCACCCCTGCTTTTATGCCACCATTTTCTTTGGTCAACTCAACACAGTTTATTTACTTAATATTCCCATTTCTATTTTCCCCACCACCACAACCCTATGAGGAAGGTTGGACTGAGAAAGAGTGACTGGCCCACAGTCATTCAGCTGGCCTCCGTGCTAAGGGAGGACTAAAACTTAAACTGACAGTCATCTCTCTCTCTCTTTCTATCTCTCTCTCCCTCTCTCTCCCTCCCTCCCTCTCTCCCTCCCTCTCTTTCTCCCTCCCTCTCTCTCTCCTTCCCTCCCTCCCTCTCTCCCCCCTCTCTCCCTCCATCCCTCCATCCCTCTCCACCCCTCCTCTCCCCCTCTCCTTATTTTTGTTCCCTGATTTTGAAGCTTTTTCTGTCAAATTATTTAAGATGTAGAGTATTTTTAAAAAGCTATTAACTATTATTTCTGTTTCCATAGATTTTAATTTTTCTTAGCTGGTTTGTTCTGAATTACTTATTCTCTATTCCGCATAGGATTTCCTAAAGGGGGAGTTACGTGTAATCTTTGAGGAACATGTTGCTAAATTTCCATATGGATCTTGTTATGATATGATATGGAGATGAAAAAATGGGATTGACTGTCTAGAAAAAAAATGTTCTCATGCTTTAAAGCAACTTGATTCTGTGGTTAACAAAGGGAGTTTGGAAAGAACCCCGTGTTTTTGGAATGAACACAGATTAGGCACACAGTCCAATTTCTACACAATCCAGTTAAGCTGATGGGTAGAGAGTAAAAAAAAACACATTCAGTTAGAAGACTTGTTGTGCTTTGCAAAGCCTTAAACATCTGCCTGGTGTGAGGCTTATTTCCCTTTGTTCTGTCTGAAGATGAATTGCTGGATTAGTTCCACTCCAAAAGTTCAATGCATAACTAAACATACCTATGATGACTTGAGGATATCCATTCAGTGGGGAACTTTGCAACTTAATAGTGAACAGGAATAAAAGGAACTCCCTTGTGACTACGGTGCACCCATGTGTAAAATCCTGAGCTGTCATTTTAGCAGCATGTCAGTGTGTCCGCAGCAAACCTGCTTCTGACAAGCTGAAATGATAGAAGGAGCCCTACTTCTTGCAACGGAGTTTCAAACAATATAATGATTGGAGGGATTTTTCTTTTTGGCAGATACTGGCTTTGCAAAATATTTGGATTCGTATGGGTTTTGTTTTGGACAAGGCATCCCTGTTGGGAAAAATTGACAGGAACCAAACATTTAGTTAGTTATCAGTGAAAAGATTTAGTTAATGTTTAGTTACATTATATTTTAGTCTTATTTAGTTTTAATTTTTTAGTGTTTCATATAACCGCCTTTATATATGTGCTATTTTATTTTATTATTGTATATTGCAGAGTCATTTCCGGAGAGATGGACAGCCATATAAATTTAATAAGTATTATTATTATAAAAAGCCAACACCAGCTAAGGAACTGGAAACTGTGGTTTCACATTGTTGTATATATAGTAATGTTGTATGCATATTTACCTTTTGTATAACCTTCTCTTTCCTTTAAGAAGACTTCAGTGCAGGTGTCACTGTATGCAAATATTCCAATCCAAAATGAAGAAAAATATCAAATTCATAAAGTATTTCTTATCCCCATGGCAGAAAAATCAAGTCTGCTTTGGAAATAACTTCAGTTAAATATTTCTGCCAACTTCACATGCACCCAGAAAGTTCTCTAGCAAACTTTTTGTTAGTTGCGAAGTTGTGTCTGACCCATGGACAACATTCTTCCAGGCCTTCCTGTCCTCTACCATCCTCTGGAGTCCATTTAAGCTCACACTAACTGCTTCAGTGACTCCATCCAGCTACCTCATTCGCTGTCATCCCCTTCTTCTTTTGCCCTCAATCTTTCCCAGCATTAGGCTCTTCTCCAGTGAGTCCTTCCTTCTCATTAGGTGGCCAAAGTATCTGAGTAGCTCATAGCTACTCAATAGCTCATAGCTTCATTGAGCTACGCAAGCCCCTTCACCACAACAAGGCAGTAATCCATTAAGGGGCTAGCAAACTTACATTGCACTTATTTTTAAGTAATTATATGGAGGATCATATTTTACAGGTAGTTCTTGACTTATGACCATTTCTTTAGAAACCTTTCAAATTTACAGCAGAGCTGAAAAAAAGGGGACTTATGACTGGTTCTCACATTTATGATTAGCATGGTTACTTACACTTACAACTTACAGGCTGGTCACATGATCACAATTTAGGTGCATGGCAATCAGCACATATTTACAATGTTGCAGCATCCTGAGGTCACACGGTCACCATTTGCGACCTTTTCCAGCCAGCTTCTGACAAGCAAAATCAACGGGGAAGCCAATAGGTCATGGATGGTCTAGTTTGGAGATCCTCAATCTTTCCAGTTTTGCATACTGGCGGAGGGGGGGGAGTGAGTGAGAGGGAATGGTTATGCATGAGTGGTGGGCGAGCATGTGCCCATGCAGCTCCATTTGCGTAAATGGAGGGCTTCTGTGGCCCAGTCCTGGGCCGCAGCCCAGCGATTGTTGACCCCTGCTTGAGTTGGTGCTATCATCTAACCACTCCTACTAATACAAATATTTTGGTAACATTGAACTACAATCTCTATCCCCCAGAGTGTCTTTGGTGGCTGACAGAGAATGAGTCAAGAACAAGGAAGAACAATATCTTCCTCGTAATAGCATTCAGGTATTCCTCGTAATAGCATTCAGGTAACTAATCACTGACTAACCATGAAAGGGAACATGCTATTAGCTTTATTGTGTCAAGATTTTATAGCAGTTTATGTGTAGTACAATGCATGTACTGCATGCAGAATATATAATGAACAAATGTCATTTAGAAGAGTTAGTATTATTCATATAAAAGACCCATGGAGTGAGACTTCTGATTTTTTTATATATATATGAATGCAGCTGGGAATGACAAATCACATAATGAAAACATTATTTAGGAACGACACTTCATGACTAGGAACTGGGTTTTCGGGTTTTAATGTCTTCCCCATTGAGCAGAAAACTCTTGAATTTCTCCGCTTCAGAATAAACGAAGAGGCTTTCCGAAAGCCCAGTGAAACCCACAAAGGAAGAAGGGGAAAGCAAAGGACTAAAGCTAGAATCGGAATCATGGAAAATGCATCTCAGAAGCACTGGGAATTGTTTAAAAAATACCCTTTGATTAGAATAGCAACAAAAATGCTAATCTGCAATTTAAGAGGAAAGCTTCCAAAGTAGCTCACAAATAGCATGAATTATTCAGAGGCAGGTTATTATTTTTCCTCTGTTATTTTGCATATGATTGAAGCTTCAAACCTGGCACAAATGCACAAATTCAGCTTAGTGCCAAAGTGGGAAGAGAGACATGTAAGAGTCTCTAGCATGGATTTTCAATTCTCTTTAGTCCCAATAAACTAGGGTAGTTTGACCTTCTGTGAGCTGCTCCACTTCGACTCTAATTGGCGCTTGCTTTGATTTATGCAGCTGTAACGTAAGTTCAAAGCAGAATCTCTTTTTGTATTTAGGGTGAATTAATCCAGCATCAGGGAACAGCAATAATGAGGGACATTCATATTAACTTTCTCAAATCACTCTCCACTACCAGATTCCAAATGAGGCTGAGGCGAACCAGATTTAGTGCAGCCTTTCCCTAACTGGTATATTGAGACTACAACTTCCAGAATTCCCAGCCCAGGTGAAACAAGTGAGTCTTTTCAGAGTCTTGTTGGGTCATTGTGCATGAAGGAGGCATCTCTAGAACTAGAAGAGACATCACAGGACTGTGCAATGTTTGTGGAATGCAAAAAAAACCCCAACCAATTATATCTTTCAGGACATTTTGCATTATAATAATACAAAGGTTAGCCCTTCAAGGTAGGCCATGCCAAAAAAACAGGCGCAAGAAATACTAGAACTCTGTTTTATTGGTATAGACTGAATAACAGGATCTTAAAAGCCTGACAGCAATTTCCTTTCACTCAACCTTAAGTTTCTTTCTCAAACTTTTTTTTTTCTTGGGCTGAGCTCATGTTTTATTAACAGTTGTCACTTACCTTCTTCAGGGCCTCTGTGTTCCTCACACTACTGGGGCAGAGATTATTTAACTTGGGTATGTGAGTTCTTTAAGAATGTGTGACAGAATCATACAAAAAGCTTTGGATCTTTTCTGGATATATTTGTGGGAACCTGGAATGTGTAATGCATTGTGACTGATTGTATAGGTTCTGTTATGTCCTTATAAGGACACCCGCCGGGATTGGCTAATCCTCCGGCGGGAAATTCAAAATGCTGTCTCTGGGCGGTGTGACTTGCCGGGAGCGCTTAAAAGGAGAGCTCCGGCAGCGCAGCCACTAGTCTTGTTCTCACTTAATAAAAGTGCTGAATGGACCACACTGGTCGTGTCTTCTTTTCCTGTGCCTGATCTAACAGGTTCCTTTAGAGTAGATAGCAATATCAGACCTGTTATGGACCTTGCACCACAATTATCCCAAAGGCAGAAGAAGAGAACTTCCAACCATCATGTGTAAGAATTTGGAAACGTATTCCTGCGCATCTGATGGAGTCCAGATTGTGAAATGCAGTTTTTGTGCTCAATCTTCAGTGCCATCACCCTAATTAAGTATGATGGATCCAGGCTGACCCACAAACATCTGACCTTATAGGAAAAACCCTGGCTTTACAAAATCCTAACAATCAAGGCAGCTTCTCAGATTGAGTTATTTGTATTGTGGAGATGTGGCTAACTTTTCTAGATTCTCTCTTTTGGAATATGTCATTTTCATTATTTAGCTCTCTAGATCCTCCTTGCTTATGACAGAAACTTCTTCTTTACATAAAAGCCATTATTGCCAAAGGCATTGGATATCAGAACAGAGAATGGTGACATTCCACAGATATGTAGCAGCAGTTGACTTGACTGATTTCCAATCTTGGCTCTTATGAAGAAATCCAGAACACAGATAAGGTAGATAGACGTACTATACCAGCTTTTCAGCCTAGAGATCATCCTGGATTAATAATTACTTAATTAAATATTGTTAATTTAAATAACATATTGTTGTAGTTCTTATACTCTTGGTGATTCCTTGAATACCTGCATGATTCCTTCTCCTGTTACTTTCCATGAGCCCTTTTAGAGATAGACCACATTTCCAAGTATAATTTGTATACATGCAATCTGTCTCATTTGTAACCTTCATATGCATAACAAACCAGTTTTACCTGCCCTTATACCCTTCACTCCACCTCACTTCACCCCAGAGTAACTTCTATTATTAGTTTAACCATTCTGTACATCTAATGAAGTGATCTGCAGCTTAGGTCAGAGCAGCTTCAGGATTGACACTTATGCCCTTTAACACAATTTGTTAGATGGAAAAAGTCCTACCAAATTCTTCTTGTTTTCTTTTTACTACAACAGAGTAACTCTCTCTCCTTCTTTGTTGTCTACATTTCCAAGAGAGAGTGATCTTGTAAATCCCAGTTTCTCAAATCAAAGCAGACCCAACCCTTATGGCCGTGTGGTCAGTGGTGGGATTCAAATTTTTTTACTACCGGTTCTGTGGGTGTGGCTTGGTGGACGGGGCTTTGTGGGTGGGGCAGGGGAAGGATACTGTAAAATCTCCATTCCCACCCCACTCCACGGGAAGGATATTATAAAATCTCCATTCCCTCCTCACTCCAGGGGAAGGTTACTGCAAAATCCCCATTTCCTCCCAATCAGCTGGGATTTGGGAGGCAGAGAATAGATGGAGGCAGGGCCAGTCAGAGGTGGTATTTACCGGTTCACAGAACTACTCAAAATTTCCACTACCAGTTCTCCAGAACTGGTCAGAACCTGCTGAATACCACCTCTGGTGTGGTCAGTAAAATTAATTTACTAAAATGTAAACTCAATTACAAGAGCTAATATTTTGTGTAAGCATTAACACAATACCTCTAGAGAATTTCAGATCCTGGATTTAAAAGACTTACTACTCTCCCACCCATTTACATTAGCTGAGAAACGTACAATTAACGTTTCACGGTTTCCACACTTCTGACCCTTTATTGCCCTTACCTGAAGCCCTTCCAATTTGCATTTTTTAAAAATTGCAGTGCTCAGCACCTTGAGGAGGATTGGTTAATGCAAGGCTAACATTTATCTTTTTTTTTCCTCCGGTACCCCATTGCCATTCTGTGCCACGATGCCGTTTCTATCTACAGCACAACCACCAAATACATTGCAGCTATATTTAGCACCCTACAGACCTTCCCAATTGAAGCTGAAGGAAGCGATTGTGCCTGACTCTTTTGTCCCCAATGTATTTGGTTTCTGATGTAAAAAGGCCAGCAAGAATCTCTGGAATTAAGCTTCTGCCTCTTGAATAGAATGGGTAAGCGAGCTCATTTTACTGCAAGTACAAATACCGTAATGTCTTTACACATTTAGTCTGGGAACTATAGGATAATATTAAATCCTCTACTGACACTCTTAATTAACATTTCTACTCAAGACTGCTAACAGAGATTGGACTGTCTACATCTATTGCTATGCTCTTAAATTGGGGGAAAGCGGCAGGTTACGCTGAGGAGAACATCAAAAGAAAATCACTTGTTTTGAACTTTACTCAGTCAGAATGTCATGCTAAAAGAAATGCATATGGGGGGAAGGAAAAGAGAGAACACTTTGCCACAAAATATCCCTAGATAAAGCTTCCGATTAAATACAAAGCAGTCAAGTCAAAATTATTGGTGACAATTACTGTAACTCAATTAGGCGCAATAGCAAATGCGCTTCCCTTAAATCACTTTCCTGAGTCTCCAAGGAGTCACGCAAGCAATACTATATGAGGTTCATTTAATCTCTAACGTCGTAATTATCGCTACTGACGAAAGAAAACTACAACAAAGCAAGGGAATAAATTTAATAGTTCATGTTTTAATAAACATTTTACGGGTAACCCAGTTAGTTTAGAAGCACTTAATTAATCTCATTGGCTTTGCAGAAATTCTTGGCTATGTGTGACTTCATGAGAAAATGCCATGCTTCCATCACTTCCACCATGGGAGGTAGGTATAATATTTCATTCCTAAAAATCTACGCTCATTAATTGTGATTATTTACAGCATGTTTTGCTCACATATATGTCGTTTAGATTTGTTATGAGTGCCCACCTGAGTAGACTTTATAAAACAGCTTACCTTAGATTGTAGGGAGAGATGTGCATTACAGTAAGATTATTTTAGTGATTTGCTGACAAACAAATCAATGGCATCCAAAGAAATTAGGATCAAAACTACAAGAATTCCCAGTAATTTCACCATGCTGCTGAAGTGTGGATACTTGAAGGACACAGCTGGAAGGTATTCAATGGGCAATAAAGCTCATCCTCATTTCATCGAAATTGCAACGCAAACATGTCGCAGGAACTATTTTTTTTAATGCAATGTCTGTGCAGCACTGTTCTCATTTCATCTTCATCTTATAGCTGAAGTAATCAATCAGTAGAAGTTGTTTTTCTTCTTTGGCATTAACATTGATATGATTGCTGATACAGTCTGATCTGCCCAACTTCTATTGGCTATATTAAATTCCTGTGGATGTGTCCACTCCCTTTGACCTATAAGATATAGTCATTTTGCTCCAAGATGCACACACACACACACACACACTCCAGAGGTGGGTTTCAGCTGGTTCTGACCAGTTCTGGAGAACCGGTAGTGGAAATTTTGAGTAGTTTGGAGAACCGGTAGTAAAAATTCTGACTGGCCCTGCCTCCATCTATTCTCTGCTTCCCAAGTCCCAGCTGATCAGGAGGAAATGGGGATTTTGCAGTATCCTTCCCCTGGAGTGGGGTGGGAATGGAGATTTTATAGTATCCTTCCCCTGCCATGACCACCAAGCCATGCCATGCCACACCCACCAAGCCACAACCACAGAACCGGTAGTAAAAAAATTTGAAACCCACCACTGACACACACACACACACAAACAGAGAGAGACAGAGAGAGACAGAGAGAGACACACAGAGAGAGACTTTTTGGTTGTAAGCTCCTTGGGGCTGAGAAGAATTGCTGGAAAACTGAGTTTCCTGAAATGGACCTCTAGACTTCTAAACAACTGAAAAAACAATCTAGTAAAAAGAAAAGTCAACCAAAAGAGCAACATGCAAACAAAAGCAAAAAAAAATAAATAAAATAAAAACAAAACCCAGGAGCAAAACAAATTAAATTTTAATTTGTGTGCATTGTTTAATGGACTATTAAATTGGCCACACCTAGTCACATGACATGGCCACACCCACCCAGTCACATGACCACCTAGCCATGCCCACCCACCCGGTCCCACCCAGAATTTGCTGCCCACAAGCCCAGTAGTGGACCCACCAGTTCTATCATTCACTTGTAGTACCAGTTGAGGATGAAACCAATTTGTTACCAATTGCTTTTTTTTGCTTCACCATATGCTGCTCCTCCATGTCTGCCAAATTATTTTATTACAAGGTTTAGTGTGCTTTCAGAACAAATGATCCGTATTAAAGAGCTGCCCACGTTGAGGACAACGCCTCTTCCTTTCTGTGACAGAATTGGACCTGACTCCAAATTTTAAGACAGCACACTTTTCTGCCACCTCGAGTACTGACAGATAGGACTTTTCACAGACATATCTGGCTGTGCTGATATAGGAGGATAAGAATTATTTTATGTCCTAAATTATTAAAATATTGTTTCCATATAAAAATGTGTACAGCCCTTAAGTATAATCACACATGATAAAAACATTAATGCACATGCCATTTTAAGCCTAAATACCTGTATTTTATTCAGTGCTTTAAACATATCCCCCAAGATTTTCTTTGTGATAGTTATACAGGTAGTCCTCGACTTACAACAGTTCATTTAGTGACCGTTCAAAGTTATAACAGCACTGAAAAAAATGACTTATGTCCATTACTCACACTTATGACCATTGCAGCATCCCTGTGGTCACATGATTTACATTTGGATGCTTGAGAACTGACTCACATTTATGACGGTTGTAGTGTCCTGAAGTCATGTGATCCCCATTTGCAACCTGGCAAGCAAAGTCAATGGGGAAGCCAGATTCACTTAACAACTGTGTTATTAAGTTAAGAACTGCAGTGAGTCACTTAACAAATGTGGCAAGAAAAGTTGTAAAATGGGGCAAAACTCACTTAACTAATTTCTCACTTAGCAATATAGATTTTGGGCTGAATTGTGGTCATAAATTGAGAACTACCTGCGTTGTGATAAATTATAAATGTGAAAGATGTCTTCACAACAGAAGTATGACAGCAGAAGTCATGTGTATTTGAAACTTTGGGGCTACAGAAATACAGCAAGTGTGCAAGTTTATTCCTTGTGATAAATGTTGGCACATAACTGCTCTGCCTATAAGTGTCTATGGAGATTCTCAGTCATCCAGGTCATGGTTGTCCCAAAGGTGCTTTTTCAAGAGGCAACTGGCTGGTTTTTCTTTGAAGACATTTCGCTTCTCATCCAAGAAGCTTCTTCTGTTCTGACTGGATGGTGAGGTATAAATCCTTCCATTCCCCACCATCCAGTCAGAGCTGAAGAAGCTTCTTGGATGAGAAGCGAAACATCTTCAAAGAAAAACCAGAAAGTTCAGTTCCCCTTGAAAAAGCAACTTTTGGATGACTCTGCCTGTAAGACATTCATACCATATAGAGTAATTAACTCTTCCACCCTCAATACTTACTCCCAGTTGGTTTGAAAAAAAAAATCAACTCCTAACCACTGTGCCACCACGGTTCTTATCCACCAGAACTGAGAGACTGAACTTTGTGAATTGATCCAAATATCAAAACTACCTTTTAAAAGCTCACTAAGTTAGTGGTTCTCATCACATCTGTGCAAAGTGATTTCCAAAGATCTTATATATGCAATGGAGGGATTCTAATAGATGCATGAGTGATGGGCGTGGGCAGCCAGATGGATAGAGGTTGGAGCCCAAAGACTTATAGTGATTTTGTCTATGATTTTACTTTATAATGTATATACTGTACATAACCTTTTAAAAGTCTGTAAGGATTGGGATACATAAATACTCGGGCAACGCCGGTTTATCAGCTAGTTTGAAATATTTTTTTTAATAAAATGATGTATTGTGGGCATTTAACTCCAGAGAAATTGTCAAGATTGTATAAGGGAAAATCAAATAAGAACTGGAAGTATGATTATTGCGAAGGTACCTTTTACCATCTTTGGTGGACATGTAAGACTGCCAACAAGTATTGGGATCAGATATCTTGTTTGATTCATAAAATATTAAAAATGGATGTAAAATTGAAATCAGAAGCTTTTCTTTAGGTATCATGGATAAGCAGATTTTAAAGTAACCATGAGATTTTGTATTTATATATGACAGTGCAAGGGAGACTTTTATATGTACATACACAAGATATAAAAATTCCCACAACTGAAATTAATGGAATTGGCAGGGATGGCAAAACTGATTACTGTGATGAATCTGTTTTTTTTTCTTTCCTGGAAGTCAGTGCAAAATAGTTTTAATTTTTTGATGAAAAGAACAGTATTTCCATGCTTGTTCAGGGGTGGGGTGGGGGGAATCATCTGGAGATGTTCATGTGATTGTTATTATGCCATTTGATGTTACTCTGGAAATTATAATGAAATTTGATTAATCAAACAAGTTATTGATTTTAGATATTAGAGATGATTGGATATATATTAAGTACAGCAATAAAAATCCCAGGAGACCATCCATGACTGCACACAAAGAGCCTCTGTTTGTTCTGCCCTTTTCTCTAAGATCCTTTGGAACACTTATATACAGTAGTGGGATTCAAACAGTTTGCATCACTTCAGCCGAACTGGTTGTTAAACTGCTGGCTGGCCCCGCCCCTTCCAGAAGTCCCCACGCGCCCCGTTTTGGCTCCCAGGTAAGTGCAAGGCCCGTTTTTGCTCCCAGGGGGTACAGGAAGCCAAGTTCTCCTGTCACACCCCCTGGCTACGCCTACCATGGCCAGTGGCCACGCCTACCCAGCTGGTCATTAGAGCAGAGAACCGGTTGTTATATTATTAGAATCCCATCACTGCTTATGTAAGTTCTTTGTAAATCACTTTGTACAGATGTGATTAGAACCACTAATTTAGTGAGCTTTTAAAAGGTAGTTTTGATATTTGGTTCAGTCTATTAGTTCTGGTGGATAAGAGCCGCGGTGGCGCAGTGCTTAGAGTGCAGTACTGCAGGCTATTTCTGCTGATCACTGGCTGCCATCAGTTTGATGGCAGATCAAAGCTCACCATGCTCAAGGTTGACTCAGCGTTCCATCCTTCTGAGGTGGGTAAAATGAGGACCCAGATAGTTGGGGGCAATATGCCGTTTAGAGAGGGCTGTAAAGCACTGTGAAGTGTTATATAAGTCTAAATGCTATTGCTATATGATGGCTATATGGCACCCAGTGTTATGCAAGCAATAAGCTGTCCAACACCAGTTGGTAGTTAGTAACATGGGTGAGAAGTGGATTGTCTTCAAGCAATAACTTTTTGAGATGCTTAAGTCTAAATGAAGTTCTTTCCTTCTTTCATTTTTTTTTTTTTAATTTGATTTATATGCCGCCCTTCTCCGGAGACTCAGGGCAGCTTACAATGCGCTAAGCAATAGCCTTCATACTTTTGTATATTTTATACAAAGTCAGCTTATTGCCCCCACAAACTGGGTCCTCATTTCACCTACCTTAGAAAGGATGGAAGGCTGAGTCAACCTTGAGCCTTGTAGAGATTCGAACCAGCAGAAATTGCAGGCAGCTGTGTTAATAACAGGGTGCATTAAACCACTGTACTATCAAGGCTCCTTTGATATCTATGCAGCCTACGACCAGTATGTGAGGACTTTACATGTTTGTCATTCATGTTTTGCTTGACAGCTTCCAAAAATATGGGAAATCAATTATGTGCATTTGGTTGTTTCATAAAGGATCTTCTAAAGTTCTTATGTGCTGTATCCTTTTTAGTTCCAGCCACAGGCGATCCACATACCTACTTTTTTGGCAAGAAAGAAATAGACGTAACTTTCATTTTTGGTAAAATAATAATTTGCTTCTTCCTAAATTTATACCTGCAGCATATTCTGCAACCAACACTTTTATGATTGCCCTCCCCTTTAATTTGTTTTATTTATAATATGGTTAGATTTTTCCCATCCACTCTTTTTGCAATCAATTACGTTTTTTAACTTTTATGTTTTTCCTCACACCTCCTAAGTTAATCATTTTTCACTTGACCCAGAAAGAAAGAGGCTAATGGGAAGTCTTCTGTAATCAATCTGAAAACTAATAAATATTTTGAGACTGTCATAAGCACAACTTATGCATGTAAATGTAAGAGGAATGAATGAACTGCTGACTAGAAACTTTTAAGTAAGTTTCTACAGCTGATTCATTTTTAAAGAAAAGGGATAAACAATATTTTAACCATAGGTATGTTAGTATATTCTCAGAAAATGTACTGAAGATCTCTAATCAAATTTAGCCTGTTTTATGGGACTACCCTAGTTTTTATATTATTTTTAATTGCATCTTGGTTGAAATCAATCTGGTGGGAAAAAGCAGAGATTTTACCATTACCATAGGTAATTTTTCCAATATTTATTTGCTCTGGCAGTGTTTGAGTTGGTGTAAAGACATATCTATCTCAAAAGCCTTACTGTTTGCAACTAGCTTAAATTTATTTGCAGGATGAATAATATAAAATGATATAATATAAAATAATATAAAAATGATGGCGACAATGCCAAAGAACTGGGGGAAAAGCTTTTCTAAGAGAAGGCTGCCTTGAGATTAAAGAGGGAGTGTATCACTTTTAAAAGAAAAGAGTTAATGTTGGGGTTGTTTGAAATATCAGTAAAGGAAACCCAAGATAGGGAGGAGAGGGGTACCATTCAGCAAATTCCAAAGACATCACCTTTCCTTCTGTTTAAAGATGAACTATAGAAAAGCAGCATATTTTATAAAGAACATCATCCTAGTTCTTTTTCTTAATTCCACAAAAGATCACCAAAGCTCTCCACAATAACAAACAAATACACTTTTTTTGAAAGCAAATAAATTCATACCTTTGACAGGAGGTATGAAGGAGAAGAATAATTAAATGCCAAATTTTGGCTCTGTCCTGCCAGGGTTGTTCTCCTCAGAAAACTCTAAAACCAAGGCAGCTGTATCAATTTTTTAAAAAATTAATATGCAGCTTTAGGCCTGCCTCCTTGTGCAGTAGAATCACTACTTAGGATAAAGGCTAGGATTGCCTCAGGAGGAGAGAAAAGCTCAGATCCTGCCTACACTATTTTCTGAGATCAGATTTGGATTAAATTTAATACCTAAAGATGCTTCTCCTTGGACTAAAAAGTCAAAATCAGTTTCATCCCAATAGGCAAAGAGAGATGGAGCTCCATAATGAAGATTACTCTTCTATTACATTTGGAGTGAATTGCAGTTCTTCAAAAAGACTGCGGTAATCGATCAGTGTTGCTAGTTCTCCTCAAAGAAAAAGAAAGCATTTATCCTAATTTGGCAGTATTCTGTTATACATATGACCACTGTGTGGTCCTTTTATAGAGATAAAGATCTATTTGTAGTCTTGAGAACAATTCATTATCATTGTCATCATCACACACACACACACACACGTAGTTGAATAAAAGAAGGAAGGGATTGTTTATAGTACATAACATCAAAGTGGCTTTCAAATGTTTTTCACAAATCTAGTAAAAAAACCCTACAAAGTTGAAGAGAACAGCTGAGATCTTCTCTTAGCAATTAAGACAGTAGCTACCCTGAAGAGAGGGTTAAAAAAAGATATTAAAAATATAGGAAAAGAAGTAAGAGGACAAAGAGTAATAGGAAAGAGCTTTAATTTAATTTAATTTAAATACTCAGCATGACTACAGAGCAGGCTGCAACAAAGCAGCAGTTTTGGACTTATAATCAGGTTTCCCTCAGAGAATTCACCTCTAACTTTACCTTGAAATATGTGTGTTTGGGACATTAGCTTATTTATTGGGGGGGGTGGGGTATCAAGTGAAGTCAACTATTTTTTGTTCACCTTTGTACTTTGTTTTTATAGTTGAAATGAATATTTGATCGCCTCCCATCTCCCTGAAGAAAAAAAGAAACCCAGGAGGTCTATTAATAGAACTGTACATTGAATAAGGGTCTTCATAACACAATCTGAATCTGTTGAAATGCTTTTGTTCCATCCTGAAAAGATTTTTCCAACTGGCTGTCTGAGCTTTGCTTTTTTTTTTCATATTTGGATATTTTCTTCAAAAGCGTTGTGCATTTTTATGAGTTAGAGAATCTCCCCAGGCCCAACAGAGTCTGCGTTTGAAGACTGAGATTGTTAACCTTTCCCTTCAAAATAGTGAATACGAACAAGTCCTAAAGGAATGTTTGCTTTTGGAAATATTGCAAACACCAAGAATATTTTCACCTCAAAATGTTCTGGTTCTAGCTGTATTTTTTCTCAGGTGTCATGATGACTTAGCATAATTACATTTTCAAAGTGAACAATCAGAGATGTATCTATTGGGGATTGAGTCTGAACCTAATTGCCTTTATAATAAATTCTTTCCAGATTTGCAAACTCTATTCAGAAATGAGGAGGAATTGAAAGTACTCTGCTGCCATCTTTGGGGCATTTGAGTAAACTCTTGTTTCCAAAGTTTTATTACTAGTAAGTAGATGGTGAATGAATGAAGACACAATAATTTTATTTTTGTTCAGCAGATTAAAGACTGGTGTATCTTCCTTCAAGATGAACTTTATAATCTCATGCATTGCAACCTATCTTCTCCCAAAAAAGAAGATTTTATATTCCTTTTTGTAGTGGATTGCCTGCCTAAATTGGTTGGTACCTTAAAATATGTGAATGTCTTATAGTCACAGGATCGTATATCTCTTCACAGGAGACAATGACAATGTAGCTTGAATGCTTGTTTGTCAGAAAGCAATCTTGACAGAAGTAAATTGCATGAATGCAGCAGGATTTTTCAATATAATGGAAAGGAGTCCTGCAAAGCACCGATATCTAAAACCTATCATCAGACAAATGAGTTATGTCTTTCTTGTAATGCCACTGTAGCTATCTTGGCCAAAAACGAGCTAACAGGGAAGTACATTTCCATTTTTATCTGTGAACTTTACAACAGGCATATCCATGGCCATGGAGAATCTTCCTCCAGTGTTACAGAACTATGAACATAAAGATATATGAGGACATACGTTTTCTTTTCCACCAAAATGAACATGAGTGATAAATCAGAAGAAATGTTTAGCACAGCATAGAAATAACAGAAACAGCAGTTCATTTATGTGAAATGTTTTTAATCTTCTGAATGTTTCCTAGATTTGAGTGCATTTGATTTTTTTATAATTATTTTACTCCACCTTTCTGAAAGGCTTACAACATAAAACAATACAACAATAAATATTAGAATTGATAAAATTCAGTGATCCCATCCTTAACAACATAAAAAAACAGAAAGCATTGCCGTTGCAATTCTGTAAAAAAAAAAAAAAACCATAGAAGAAGACATAGAAGAAGACCATAGGAAATGAATACATTTTTAGAATCTCCAGATGAATGAATTTAACAAATTAGTTGATAAAGTTCCAGAGATGTGAGGCCACTGCAGTAATAGCAGGGGTGAAATTCACTTACCTTCCCTACCGGTTCGCAAATGTGTGCGTGCAATCATCTACACATGCACAAAGCCTTCTGTGCATGCACAGAGGTTTAAATTATCGCAAAAAAGCGACATCATGACATCCGCGCAGGTGGGTGGAGCCTCCTGCAGCCACCGCTACTGGTTTGCCCTAGCCGGATAAAACCGGCTGAATTTCACCCCTGAATAATAGTCATCCTCATTGCCTCTGCGGGTCTGATTTATCTCAAAGGTGGACAAACGGGTCTGTTTGATAGATCTTATGGTTTAGGGATAATGATATGATTTTGATGTTTAAAGCTTAGTAAATGAAGAATGACTCTTCTGATTGCTTTAGAAATGTTCTGGAAATCAGTGTAGCTGGCACAATGGGCTCCATTTCTAAAGGGTCTTTAAAATCTGGCCTAATTCCCACTTAATCTTCCTGATGTTGTGTTTGTTGCCTCAGCTTTGCCTGGAAGCATGTGCTTCACCAGTGTGTCCTTGGGTTCCCTCCAATAGTCTGAATATTCACAGGAGCTCACCATTTTTATATGATTTTGGCAATGTCACCCAGGATTCTTATGCAAGAATCATGATACATATATTATATACACAGAGACACAAATCAATGATCAATACATAGGGATCATTTAGCAATTTAGCAGATGTGGAAGGCTGCCAATTCCTACTCTAGATTATAATGGTTCTTGAGATTTTTGGTTTCATATTTAGATTTGCTCTACACTCTTCTTGTTACGCTTCACACCCAACAATCCCACCAATGCACTTGTGTTTAAATTCTGTTTTCCTACTCAACCAATGTTGCCAAAAACAGTATAGAGCCTTATCACATCCTATTCAAGCAAGGAATAAAGTAAAAGCTACAAACAAAAGAATGGTGGTGATTTTATCAGCTTCTGGGGTTTCATCTCATAGCAAATTTAGCTTCAGTTAATAAGAAGCAATCTTCAGAAGTTGCACTGGACTATGCTATTTAACTATTCCATTAAAAATGAAAACACATTCAAATTAAAACGCCCGTAAGATATGAAAGGAGATAAAAGGAAGAAGGTGAGAGAATGAAAAGAGAGCCACAGACACCACTTCCAGGAGAAGACATGAAATGCATCAGTAATTTCTCATCAAGATGCAGTTCCCCTAACTGACCATGACAGATAAAAATGAAATAGAAATTTCAGTATCAAATAGAAACACAAAAGAGAGGTGACCTTTGATCAGATGTCAGCTTGTACTTTTGACAGGGAGATTTGCATCCAGAGAGAATTTA